AGCGAGGCGGGCGGGGGCGGGGTGGGGGGGGTGCAAAAGAAAATATCCAGGGTATTTGGAGCCCAAGACACAAGGCACCCTCGGGGCAAAGTTAGTCCCCCTTTTCCTTAGCATCAAAAGGTCTTTAAGAACGATTCCCGCGCAAATTGGTAGCACAGCCAGAGTGTTTTGTCATGAAGAGAACGAGTTTACATTAGGGATAAATGAAAGGGGAGGAATATATGGATGCTAATAAGGCAGGCCCATCTTGTCTCTATCTCCCTCTGTCTGTCTCTCTCTCTCGTCAAAATAAAATGCACTCTCCTTTCGCGATTTAATCTTTGTCTTTATTCCACAAAATGTAGATATTCAATAGTGAGGTTCTCCCCTTGAGCTCTTTTCACTCTGCTCTTCTTTGGCGAGCTCACCTATTCATTCCCTCTGCTTCAGCTTTCAGACATATTACTGCGATTTCAAATTGACGTCTCTATCTCAAATGTATCCCCCCAGCTCCAGACGTGCATTTCCGTCTACCTGTTGGTCATTTAACTCTTTCCTCTGGCACTTTGAACTTAATATGGCCAAAACCGAATTCATCTTTTTTGCCAAACTGCACCAGTATCCCCTGATTGGCACAGGGTTGTAAACTGCATATCACAAGGTAAATGCATAGTGTGGTCAACATTCATTCTCCTCAACCCAGTTTAGCTTGAAAATGCCTATCCTGACCACCTCTTTCAAATTTGCAATCTTCCCATTCCCCATCTCCTCACATACTCTATGATTTACCTATCTATAATAATAAAAGCATAATATGCTAATTAGACCAGACATCCAGACAACCTTCTGGACCAAGCCCCTTGAACAAATTTCGTGCATTGGGCCTCTAGTTTATTATATTTGTTGTGTTATTATTGTTTACTATATACCTCTGGAATGTAAGTTCCAAGAGGACAAAGATTTCTGTCTGTATCTAGAACATTGCCTGTCAAGTTGTAAGCATTCAAATAAAAGTTTGCTAAATGAATAAATTATAGGAAAGAATGAGGGAGGGATACATCCTTATTTGAAAGGATCTCTGTAGAGAGTCCTTCCATTACTTTGAATTGGGTTAAATAAAAAATCTCTGTGAACTTATACACTCTCTTAAATTTTGATAATCATTTGATTATTAATTAATATTTTCTGATATACTTAAGCTTTCTCAAGATGGAAAAACTAAAAAATAAAAGGTCTCCAAGAATTATCAGATTTCCTTAACTTGAACTACATATATTTTTGTTCTGGGTCTCATTGTCCAAGCCTTTAATTATGGTCCTTATTTTTCTCTGGGAACTTTTCAATTTCTTCACCTCTAAACCAAGATTTGACACAGTACTTGATCAATATCAAGTACAGTATAATGTATTCCTTACAAATGCAATTCTATTTATAAAACTCACAATCAGGGAGAACCAGGAAGTAATCTGTCTGTACAAGACAGGGAAGTATTTCCTTCTCCACCCAGGAAGGTTACAAGATAGTAAAAATAGTTAACAAAAAAAATTTCTTAAAATTTTGTGTTGGCTTTGATGATGGTCAAATTGAAGTTAGCCTTCTCAGATACTCTATTAAATTGCCTTTTCTAATATTAATTTATCTGAAGCAGAAAATGATTTATAAGTTTTCTTAAGGGAGTTGAGATCTTTTTTTTTTAATGTTTTAAAGTAGAGATTTTTTTTTTGTTTTCTTTTTTTAAATTTTATTATTTATTACAAAGGATATTACATATGTGTCCATTTTTTCCCCCCGCCCAAGACAGTCCCCTAGCCTCCCCCATCCCCCAGTGTCTTATGTCCATTGGTTATGCTTATATGCATGCATACAAGTCCTTTGGGAGTTGAGATCTTGTTTCTTTCTTTTAAAAGGATGAGATTAATTTTTTTTAAAAAAAGAAAGAGCCAGTAAGGGATCTGATTTTTGTATAAGCCACTAATATATTATCCTAGTCTTCAGGGAAGTGACATGTGTCCAGGCATTAAATTTTATTTTCTCCATTACCTTCTTAAAATGCATTCCCTACTCTCTTCCTTTGAATCTCTTACCCATGTACTGAGAATAAAAGAAACTAGGCTAGTTTCACATTTTTCCAGAAATAAGTGGTTAACTCATATTCATGGAGTGAGATTTTAATTGTCTTAACTGTGGATTCCAACCTGAAGGGAAGCCAAGGTATTCATTGTTACAGTTACCACAGACCGTATCATTCAAATAAGTACTTTGGATCCACTCATACATTGGTTGAAGTTAATCCCAAAGGTGCAAGGTACATCTAGTGGCAGCACTTTTTACATGGGTTCTTACAACAAGAGTCAAACCTCATGAGAAAGAGCATTTAAATTCCTAGGTGATCCCAGAAGTGCCTTTAGTTTTACCAAAGAAACAGACATTTTCCATATGCACAGTGCATAAATGGTATGGATGTTATTAAGGGTGGGGATAACCATCTTTAAAGCGTTTCCTACCGAGATTTATGAAGACTCATCTCCTTTCCCTAGGATAGTTTGTTGAATAGAGAAACCACTGCAATTCTAGAATTGTCGAGTTAATTAACTTTGTTGCATGCCAACTAACTAGACGAGTAACTTCATATACCACTCATCCAAGTCTCCATTTCTCACACATATTCTCCCTCCATTTAGCACACTCTGCCCTTTCTTAAGTGGTTAAAAACTCCACTTTCCTAGAATACATTCCTGACTATGATCAGTATCTATAAAAGGTTCATATCTATTATGGGTACCAAACATTTTTTCAAGCTATTGCTATTTATTACAACTTCCCTGGGTAACAAATTCTAGAATTTGACTACCTTCTGTATAAACTAGTGTTTTCGATATTTATGTTGAAATTGCATCCAGTTAATATGTTTTCTTTACAAAAGTGATGTGTGCTCAGTGTAAAAAATTCAAATGACAAAACAATGTATTCCTCTTAAATCATTAAGTGGTGCCTTGGTATTTTAAGTTTTGAATCTTAGTAAACAAAACTGTGATTAATTGATTCATGTCTTTAAGATTTGTTTGCTGGAAGGTCCATACTACTATGGTTAAAAGCATATGCTCTAGAATCAGATTGGATTTGAATCCTGGATTCTCCTTTACTACGTATAAGAGATTGGACAAGTTATTTAACTTCACTGTGCCTCAATTTCCCCATATGTAAAATGGGGATAATAAACAGTACTTACTGATAAAATTGTTGTCAGGATTGAGATGATACATATAAACTGTTTAGAATAATCTCGTATGTAGTGAGCACTCAGTAAATGTTAACCACCATTATTATTGCTGACACTGCTGTTGACTCTTCCAGCTGTTTTTCCAGACTGAAGAGTTTATTCCTTTAGTCTTTCTTAAAAGATCACTTGCTTTTTCGCTTTGATTATTTTAATTGCTCTTGTCTGGACCATTTCGATTTACTAATATCTCTTCTGGGGTTTCATTACCACATCTGCACAGAATATCCTAGGTAACTTGTCTGAGGTTAGTATGATTATTCATTTTTAAAAACCCTTGATACCAAAAATGAAACAGAACATCTTATTTGCTTTTTTAGCACATTGGGTTGCTGTGTTTAGGAAATGAACTGAAAACTCCAGTATAATTACACTGGGTTCTGATAGTTGTGACCTAGTCTTTGTTCTATTTCTTGAATTCAGGCATTCCCTATATAACTGCCCTTCTCTTTCTACCCTCTCTTCTTTGGGAGAGAATTGTTGGAGTAGATTCTGAAATAGGTAGGAAGGAGGTGATGGAATGCAGAGTACAGACTGAGACGTTTTTCTTAAGGGAGTAGGAAACACCTCTTACACTGAGGCTGGAGGCGAAGAAGAAAGGATAGACACTGATGGTATATTTAACTAAGTTGCAGGGTAAGGAAGGTGATAACAATTTTCTTGAGACTCTTGTTTTGTTTTTGTTTTTTTTTTTCAGTTAAAAAGGAGGCAAGGTGTGCATTCCAGGTGACTTGTCTGTATAAGAATGGAAGTCACCCAGATAATGGCAGGGTTGGGGTGGGGGGAGCTGGAGGAAATGAGGAAGCTATGAACCATATGTCCAAGTCCTCCATGAATGTGTGGGAGTGAACAGGAAGTCATTAGATGAAGGCAAGAAGAACAGATGTCATTCAAGCTTCAGTGGAGGATGGAGGTGTAATGAGCTTGGAAGAAGTAAGTGGAGCCCTCTGATACAGTGTGTGGGTTCTGTGTATTTGTGTATGTGTGTGTGGGGGGGGGACAATGGGGTGGTGAAGAAATGAGCAGTCACCACTTGAAACAGCTCTAGAGCATGTGATGTCCAGGGTGAAATTCAGGAGAGGGAGCATCCATGCAGCAACTGAGAGTGTTGGGTAGTTTGTTTATAATGGAAGGAATTCCAGAGAGCACACGACAAGCATTGGCAGGAAGGGCAGTAGTGAGAGGAGAAACAGGGAGGTGAGAGTCAGAAGCATAAAG